TAAAAAAACAGACAACCTATTATACAAAGAGAATTCTGTTTTAAACATATTAGCTATTGCAATCCCATCATATTTGTCCTTTTCCAGCCAACTTCGAAATATTACGTATTTTGCGATAGTGATAGCTAGGTTTGTGTACTTAATTTCCACAGAGGGATTGGGCAGATCTGTTTTATATCCTAATATTATAACCTTGAAGTCGATTACAACATTACAGCAAAAAGTCTTGTATATATAATCCTTCACTATTGTCCAGAAAGATTTTAACCTACTACAAGCAATAAACAAATGTTGATAATCTTCTATACAGTTACATAGATTACAGATATTACTGGGTTTTATTTTCCAAACATAAAGTAACTGGCCACATGGCAGTATACGATGTAACAGCTTATAATTCAATTGCATCAAGTGTTTTCCTATTGGAAAATAAGTTTGATTTTTCCATATGTTTTTCCAGTCAGGTTTACAATTAAATTCAGCCTCCCACTTATCCTGTACACCAGGTGTTTCAAATTTCTGTTGCATTAAGAATTGATACAGCTTGGCAGTTTTCATAAGACACAAGTTGGGGACATTGGTAGATCCAGTACTTTCAGTGTTAACTGTTACCTCTGTTTCTTTCAAGCATTTTTGTATAGCATATTTGACAGAGAGCAATTCACATGTCCAGTTTCTTCTAACTTTAAGTTTTTGAAAGACTGCTTTATCGTTCATAAATACTCCATTCTGTACAATGTCTTTTACATATACAAAACCTGAATTTATCCAGTTCGGGTACAAAAGTGGTTTACCTTTTGATAATATGTACTTATTACCCCAGATCATCTGGTTCTGTATACCATACTCTAAGTTGGGATCAGTACATTGGTTATTTACTTTGAACCATGCAGAAAGAACCTGTTCATAAAAGATAGGTAACTTTTCTAGGAGTTTTTCATCAATACTGTTCATTTTGAATACTAAATTTACATCATTACCAAAAGCAGATAGATACTTTAAGGGAATGTATCTCCAAGAGCCATTTCCATAGCATATGCGTTTTACCCAAGAAGCAAGTAGAGCCTCCTTAACACAATAAATATCAAGCATTTTTAAACCCCCTTGATCAAGGTTTCCAATAACTGTCTTACGCTTAATTCTGTCCTGTTTTCCATTCCATAGAAAGTTAAAAAGGGCCTTATTAATCTCATTCAGTGTTGAGTTGTTCACATGTAACATGTTCAAGACATAAGTTAATTTTGTTACCGCCAAGGATTTAATAATAGCTATCTTACCATAGAAGGTTAGGTTTCTTGTTCTCCAAGTATTGAGTACAATCTTCAATTGTTTTACTCTTTCATCCCTATTCAGTTGCACAAGAGTATCTTTACAATGTCCAAAGTAAACTCCTAAAGATTTAATAGGCTCTGAGGGCCACTCAATCCCTTCCAACTGTTTCTTTCTCTCTTTCCATGGGCCTAGCCACAGTCCTTTTGTTTTTAATCTATTTAGTTTGAGACCTGTGACAATGTGAAAGTGATCAATACATCTTAACACTTCAATCAGTGATTCTTCACTAGATAGGAATAATGTAATATCATCCGCAACTTGACATAATTTCGTTTTCATCTATCATAATTCCTTCTACATTTTTATTACATTGTATAATATGAAACAGTATCTCAACAACAAATAAAAAAAGGAGAGCGCTAAGGGGGCAGCCTTGCTTGATACCACGTTTAATTTGAATAGTGGCTGTTCTCCATCCATTGTTTATTATTGATGCAATGCAGTCTGTGTAAATTGTTTTTACCCAGCTGATAAAAGTGGGTCCAAAGTTAAACTTGTCAAGAACTTTAACCATAAAGTTGTGTTCAATGGTATCGAATGCTTTTTCGAAGTCTAAAAAAAGAATCATCCCAGGTTTATTCTTGTCATCGCAGTAATCTATGATATCATTTATTAATCTAACATTCTGACCGATGAAACGGCCTTTAATGTATGCCGTCTGGTCGTTGTTTATTAATTTATCAAGATGGGGTTTGATTCTGTTGGCCAATATAAAAGCGAGTATTTTGTAATCAGTATTTAATAAGCTCAAAGGTCTCCAGTTATCTAAAGACTCAGGGTCTCCTTTCTTGAAAAGCAGTCTTAGCAAGGCTTTTCTAAACGAACATGGCAGTTTTCCTTCATTGAGACCCATTGTAATAACATCATGGATCAGAGAGCTTATCTGAGGCCAGAATACTTTGTAAAATTCGCCAGGGAGACCATCAGATCCCGGTGATTTTCCATCTTTCATATTTCTAACAGCTGTCTCACACTCAAGTTCTGAGATTGGTTTTTCACAGTTATCTTTCTCCTCTTCTGTAAGTGTTTTAGGAATGTTACTTTTCTCAAGATATTCATCAATTTCGTTATCTGCAATGTTTTTAGATGTATATAGAGTTTTATAAAAATTCCGACATTCTTTTAATATAGTAGGCTGATCTTGAATCTTTGAATTTTCTACAGATAAGGCTGTTACACAATTTTGTGCTTGCTTTTTCTTTTCCAAAATTTAAAAAATATTTGCTGGGTTTTTCCCCTTCAGTAATGTGGATGGTTTTTGCTCTGATCTGTTCTCCTTTTGCTCTATCTTCATAAATTTTTTCTAACTGTTTCTTTAGTAGAGTCGTACTCTGCTAAAAGTTGGGTATCTAGATTTTCATTAATGTCTTTCTCAATTTCTTCCAATTTGGACAATAAGCTTTTTTCCAGACTATTTCTTTCTTTTGCTTGTTGTTTTGACCAAGAAATGGAGAACTCCTTTATTTTTATCTTGCACATTTCCCAGATTAGATCTGGCTTATTACTTTTAAATTCCATTTTGGTATCAATTATGATTTTTTCAACTTCTTGTTTATAAGTTGGGTCATTTAGGAGACTTACATTTAATTTCCAAATTCCGTTGCCTTTTGGTATTTTCTTAGTATACAGATCTATGAATACAGCATTATGATCACTTCTTATTCCAGGATAATGTCCAGCTTCAGAGACATTACTTCTACATGTGCTTGATACAAGCCAGTAATCAAGTCTGCAGGCGACTGCTGGTGTTTTCCTTCTCCAAGAATATTTCTTAAGGCATGGATGTAGAAATCGGAAAATGTCAATTAGATCAAAAGAGCGACAGAAATCTTTCAATGGCTGATTTTTTTCAATGGTAGATCCACCTATTTTATCAAGGCTTGTATCAAATATGTCATTAAAATCTCCACCAACAAGCATTGGATAGAGATTCCAATCATTCAGCCAATCCTGAATACCATACAGGAAATTACTTCTTTCTCTAGGATCATTGGGGGCATAAATACATAGTAAGGTGTATTTCTCCTTCTCATACATAAAATTTACAATAATTTTTCTTCCTTCATGGTCAATTTTGTGTTCTAGAATATCAAATGGTACTTTTGGGTTAAAAAGGATACTAACACCTTTACTATGATTTGTTCCATAAGAATGGATAGTCTTACCACCCCAGTGTTTGTCAATGCTTTGTTGTATATCACGTGTCAGGTAGGTTTCTTGTAAGAGGCATATATCTGCTTTTTTTTGTTTCAGCCACAGTAATGTTTGATTTCCTTTATTATAGTTTCTTAAACCTCTACAGTTAAAGGATATCAACTTCAATTTATCCATCCACATCTTTCAAGAGAGTTGGATGAACATTATTGAAGAGAAAGTTACCTGACATTTGGCATACACAATGCACACCTAGGTACAAGTAGGTTTTTTTCGTGACTTACTGCTTCCTTTTGTACCCTGCTTCTGTTTACTATAGGATTGTCTCTGCTCCTTAAGCCAGTTTTCTAGTGTGGGCTGTGTAGAGTCTGATAGCTCACACATTTCTGTAGGCTTGTCATTTGTGGTGTCATCAGTCTTTTTTTGCTTTTTGTGTTCATCATTGTTCTTGTGGCTGTGACTCTTGCTTCTGCTTCTTGTGTTGTGTTGCACGATGCTTGGTGGAGCTGTTGGTTCTTCGCTGTCAGGAGATGTCTCTCTGTCCTGCTCGTCGCTGACACAGCTGTTCCCATCCGACTGCTCATCTTCAGAGTCCATGCCAAGGTTGCAAGCAGGATCACCACGCTTATGTCCAGGTTTTTTGCACTGAACACATACAACAGGTTTGTCGCATACACTCTTGTGATGCCCCGTTTCAAGACAGTTGCTGCATGTGAGTCTCTGCGTTTGGCTGGCTTCTTTCTGTTCCCTGTGATAGAATTCGGCCTGGAAAAGTCCTACGGACATCCTTCGTGGTAAAGGGGTAGAGGGTTTCTCTATGTACAGGAATCTTCTCCCTGTTAGGAAACGTGTTAACTTGCCGTCCTTGTTTCTTGCCCTTTCGTCGATGACCCGACTTGTGAGCTTGTAGCCACGTGAGCGTAGTGTTTTAGCTATTTCTTTGTTATCGTAAGACAACGGTATGTTACTCACTACAACTCTCGTCGATGCTGTGTCTGGTCGTACAACGTAGGGGTTTTTATCGAGCAGGCTTGCCTCTTGTCCTCGTAGCGTGATTGCGCCGGCTTGAAGAAGAGTCAGGCGTGCACCGACGGTTTGTGGATATAGCCGCCAAAAGGCATTTCCTCTTCCTTGCGGTTGTGCTCCTATGATCGAAATGGGGCCGGATACATCCTCAGCAGCTAGGCAGATTTCAAGACAGCTGAGTGGTGCATCCTCGGTGTTTATGGCGATGTCTGAGGTCTGCACAAACACAGGTTCCACTCTCCCGGATTCCTCCTGTCTCTGTTCGTGGGGAGGGGGGTTGCGTGGCGCCATGTTGGAACGTCATTGACTGAGTCTGGAAGACGTCGTCTCTACAGTTTCTAGGTGAAAACAGTGCACGAGGTGAAGTCACAATGTCCTTTGTATCACCAAGAGTCGATAGAAGGAGCAACAGTGTAAAAAATTGCTAAAAACGTCGCAAACAAATGATTTTCGAAGGTACGAAATTACGAGAGATTTAGAAGACGGCCATATTGGACCATTGCATGATGGGATATCCATCCAATCTAGATGTTTTGTCTTTGTGTTGCGTTGCCTGTTACCTACAACGTTTTTAGGTAGTAATTCGGTTCATGGAACGAACTCATGTTTAGGTAGATTTCGGGAGTGAAAATAATATTGTTTTCTAACCAGCATTTTGCCCGTTCTTCTTACCGGCTTTGAAAACACATGTGCACCTCTCAATTTACGCATTTGCGAAACGATCTACATGTATGGTGACCCCTTATTGTTTGGCAGTACTTGCGACGTGTGACGTGTGCAGGCCCGCATATTCCCGTACACACGACTAATTACTAGGTGTCCGGAGGAATCACAGACCCGCACACGCCGTGGCCGACATTTCCTGCACACATCCGGACACACCCGGGCACGCCAAATTTCACGGGACATGTACAGGTCCGGAAACGTCCGGATGTTCCGATTTTTGAGCAGTGTCGAACCCGGTTCGAACACCCCCCCCCCCGCTGGGCCCAGGGCGTGTTGCAAAGCTGCGCGGTCATTGACCCGCGGCCGTCGAACTCTCGAATGTTGTTCTAAAATTCTAAAGTTCGATTTGGGGCTTAAAATGCAACTTTTTTCTCCCATTTTTCCTCAATAAAAGCACTTTTTGACATCTCTATCGGACAAAATGACCAAGGTTCAATGTCTTACCTACCTACCTACTACCTTGCTGAGCTTTTTACAAGATTTTACAAGCAGCAGTTACGGAAATATCGATGTTTTTAGGTGTTTGGAACGGAAGAAGAAGAAGAAGAAGAGGAAACTGAGCAAAAACAATATGTTTTCCTTCGGTTAACATAATAAAACTCTTGTCCAAACAGGTGTGCGCTCTTTTTTGTGGTGTGAGGTGGACCAGAAGAACATGCGGCTACCCCCAGACAGTAGACAAACAACTCCCTTACGGACCCTGGCTACGATCACAGCAGACTTTGAGAGGTTCCAGGCAGAGGGGAAAGGGAATATTAAGAAGGCAAACAACTACATCAACGTCATTGCTAGGCCTCTCAATGACATCCCCATTGACCAGGTGAGAAACAAGACTGAGCATGTACAATACAAAATACTTATACATGTATATATGTTGTTATATGATATATTGTCATGTTACAAGTCCTACTGAAAGGCTTACCTTTTTCATATGCAGGTGTGTATTCCGGGATTGCACATCAGTGTAGGGTTGTACCAGAAGATGTTCAAAATGCTGGAGAGTGATCTCCCGGAATTGGACATGATTCTGGCTACAACCCTGACAAACGGCTTCCTGGAGGACACCGACACAGACAGGGCCCAGGTATTGCATGACTACCGCCTGCATGGACTGGAGCCCTACGTGGATGCGGTAGATGCTGCACGGGCAGAGGAGCAGAAGGCGGCAGACCTGCAGGACGAGATTGATGAAAGAGAAAGTGAATTAGCGTTGGGCCATGTACATGACTGAAGATCATGATGAGGATGACAATGATCAGGCTAAGGAAAACTTCCTTAATAGGCTGGAAGATCTATAGACGAGATAAAGTCCCTACAGGAGAACAAAAGCAAAATGGCTTTATACATGCACATAAGCAATTAAGTGCCTTTACATTTAACAAAGTACTAGCAAATTATTCACCTATCATTTCATGAGTCTTTGATCTGTGCTTTAGAATTAAAAACTAAGCTATATGCTCTTATTTGTGTTTAGGAGAGGAAAGCTGCCAACATCCGTGTATTTCGGTATAAGGGTACCTTGAACATTTGCCTACAAATTAGCAGTCACATATTTGGCGTACACCACTTCCACATTACTCATTTGGGGGACTTTAATGGCTATTTTCACCAAAAAAGGACCAAAAGTCCCATACCCGTTCCGTTCGACCTAAAGAATGGCTTGTTCCATCTGCCGTTGGTATCGAACACGCGCTCCATTTCGGGTTACCTGGGGTCACGTTCTACGTAAGTAGCACACCGGCAGAACGTAATGTAATCCGTAATGTATTCTGCATAGCAATTCGGTAGAATGTCTCATATATATAGAATACAACACGGGGTATTCCGTATCGCCCGAGGTACCAGCCCGACCGCGGGTCGGATCGCATTTCAATGCGAAATGTGCCAAAATTTCGTGTACCTAAACAAAAAAGTGTAACGACATCAATTCCAACGCCAGAATCCTGTGTTCGAATGTTCGAAAACGGCACACTCGGCGCACGCGAAATGCGTTTGAATTATTCTATGGAAGCCCGGGCCGTACCGTAAAGTATGGCCCGGTCCGGAACACCGTTATCGAAGGTTATCACGGCCCGGGTATGATATAAAAGGTTGTATCAGAGCATATAAGGTTGACAGCCCGTATGTAGTTTTCAAATGTTGTGTAGGACAAGATATCCTCTGCAACAGGCAAATTTCTGATGCAACGTTGACCAAACACCAAAGGAAAAACGTGAAAAATCAGGGTTTTGCGCAGGCGCAGTACGTTCTGCCGGGGTGCTCACGTAGGTCGTGTGCAATGTGTCTCGGAAGGTACTGAATATAAGGACAAACCAGAAAAAAAAGCATGTTACTGCGTTGATTGTTACTATAACACTATACATAAATATTAAACAAGTCATGTACAGTACCAACAGCGTAAAAAGTGACTTAACACTATTCAAACGGGGGGGGGGTGCTTTTGAGGCCAGCGCCAAATTTAATCTCAGATGGCGCCTGAACGGCTTACGCTAGAAGCGTCAAATTTGGTGACTTTTCATAAAATATGTCTGGCAACAATTTCATATTAAAAAGATAATTACCTCCATGAAATAGTCATGGAGGTTATATTTTCAGTTGCGTTTGTCTGTCTGTCAATCAGTCATTCTGTTCGTCAACAAGATAACTCAAGAACGGCTAAATGGATTGGTTTCATACTTGGTACATTGGTAGGGTCTGACGAAAACTGGAAACGATAAGATTTTGGACCCCCTTGCGGCTTCCCTTGGTACTGCAGCAAAACTTCCGGTTTTGATATCTCGCGATCCGGGCATGCTAGGGTCATTGATTTTGGGTGGTGAGTAGCTCTTGTGCTCGGGAAGAAGCCACGTAAGTTTGGGCCCCCTAGCGGCTTGTTCTGGAACTGCAGGACGGTTTGTTTGAAAATCTCCGAGAGACGATAATTGAAGAACCGGTTGACGTATCATCGTGAGTTTTAGTATGTAGGTAGCTTGATTGATGCTTGACATAATGAAATTACAATTATGCAAATTGGGATCTAATAATTAATGAGGAACTTCTAAAAATTCGTTTTGATCGATAATAGGGCTATGAAACACTTGTGACATGTGTAATTGAGAAAGAGAGGAACATTGGCAGATATAGAATATGTAAATGAAGACCTAATTTGCATAATTATTGACAAATTGCTACAATTTCATAGTGGAAACTGCTGGGGATTTGATACTTGCCATATTTGGAAGTTCATTTAATGTGAACAGCACTGAACATAATTTATTCAAATCAGGACCTCATTTGCATAATTTACAAGGAAATACTAGAATAGCCTTATTTCTTAACATAAGGTCGTCATTAGGCGGAGAATATGATGAACTGACTGATATAAACCATGCAAATTATGCTCTAATAATTTGCATAATCACCGTGAAAAATCTATAATTAGTCAGTTTGAATGGTTAATAATTTGGTGAAGGTGTGAGGTCGTGGAATTCTTTTGTGCATGAGACCTGAAAATTATTTTCTAGGTTGTATATAACCAACAATATCATACCTTGTCCATGCCAAATGATAAGGATTTCACCAGTATTGCATGTCACTAGGTAGGGGTTACATGTGTATATGAATATTTTGCGTTAGAATTTTGCTAATGAGCTGGATTGTAAACCATTTACAGGTGGTCATTACCATACATAAATTTGCAAAACGCTTAACATTTCATGGAGGTATGAGCTCGCCGAACTCTAGTTTCTTGATATTTCGTGTTGCCATGGCAACAGGTTTCTGACAGGCATTTTTTGAAAAAATGTAAGTTTGGTTCAAAAATTAAAATTTTCTAGGTTCTATGTTTAATTACACTTCCTTTTACCATTAATAATATATCATATAATTTTTTATCATTTATGTCTCTAAATATTCATAATTTATGCTATATTTACTGACGTCATCGTTCAAAATTCAAGATGGCGGACCATATAGTTAGCTCATGTGTAACCATGTTTTTTCACTAATTTTTCGTCTCAACTCCGTATTTTTTTCACATGAAACGTTCATATGAACATCTTTAGTCCATTTGCGTTACGTTTGGAGGCTTTATCTTGAAAAAAAATGCAATTTTCAAAATTCAAGATTTCCGATCCAAGATGGCCGACGGCTTAATTATGCATGACGTCATTTATGACGTCGTTTAATGTCATCAATGACGTAATGATGACGTCATTAGACGTCAAAATTACCCAAAAGTTGCTGTAAAGAATTAATTTTATTACTACACCATTCTCTGAAAATTTGGTGGCCCTACGATAAGTAGTTTTTGAGTTACAGGGGGCGGGCTTTAAAAGCCCCCCCCCCCCTCCGTCTGAGCATGCCCTGTAAAGCCCAGTTTGAATAGGGTTAAATTACGATCTGCGTAATCGTAAGCACGGCGAAATTACGATCGTAAGCATGACGAAACTACGTTCCGGGCGTGGGGGGGAGCAAATACTGGAAAAGCCAGGAATATGCAGAATGTTCATTTTCAGCCACCCTGTACACGGAATCTTCAAGAAGGGACTGCAACGGATACTCAAGAAAAGACGTACATCGCAAGCCGATCTTGTGGGATTTACGTATAAAAATGACGGTAACGTCACACAGAAAAATAATCTGCTAATTCCCTTTCAGTTGGAAATAAACTAAATCCATGTATTTTGCAACTGAAAGAAATTGACTGTATTTGAACAAATTATTAAACCTTGACTTTATCAATGCCGTGGCAAGCGCAACGTCCTTGGTAAAAATAGACTATAGGAGCACCGGTGGCC